AATGCTTGGGGGCTCTTTCTTCGAGTGACGATGCCTGGACACAGGAGGGAGAGAGAGGTTTGTGGTCACTTCTCTCCCCCCCCGCCGCACCCCCAAATGAATCCAAACCAAATTGCCGGCCCAGGTTCGGTGACTCAGCCGATGTCGTGAGCGCTGTCGCCTCTCTTCGCACGAATGGAAGCAAAGACAAAGTTCCCCCCGATAGAACCCGAATAGACCGTTGTGGCAAGCGCTGTCAGCGTTTACCTGTGAATCACGGCACGGCACACGAGGGGAGGTATGTGGCAGGCACCTTTGTCTCCCCGGTCCTAATATTTACACACCGCACCAGGTACTCATTTAAGGCTGAGTCGACTGAAGGGAGGTCCATGGCCGGTTCGTGAGCGGCCCTGGACTTACTCTTTGGTTCTTTCGGTAAAGTCACGTATAAATATAAAATAATAAATTAAATAATAGCATATGCTATTTTTTTTTTATTATTTTATCTTTCTACGTGACAAAGAGTAATTCCTGCAGTCACGAAAGCTCCAAATTTAAGATCGGCCCTGGACTGTTTTTGGTCGTGAGCGGGAATCAAATTCAGGTCGCCGGGTTTGTAGCACAGTGTGCTAACCACTGCACCGCACTTCGCCACGTATAAAAGTATTTGCGTTGATACACACACCTACAATAAAGCCCCCATGCGTGCTCACACACGTGCAAAGATTCCACGCACTCACGAAGATTTCTCGTTAAGTCATCGTGTGCTGGGGAAAGTACAATTAAAGTTAGGGAGTGGTTACCACACAAAGACAAAGATCCCCCGTATAGCCTTAACCTACTTTTGGGGCAAGTGCTGTTCGCGAGCACATATGAAGGCCGGCACAGCACACGAGGAGGTGGGTGGTCAGCACCACGCTCGGCAACCTTTGTCACCCCGAGTGGCGATGTGTACATACCACAGCAGGTAGTAATTTGAGGCTGAGTCGACCTAGGGGAGGCCAGCGACCACTACATATAATGGTCACTGGTGCTGGCCATGAGCAGGAATCGAACCCGGTTCGTAGCGTGACGCGCTAACCGCGACACTATCGCTGCACGCGCACGCACGCGCACACGCACGCGCACACACGCACACACACGTGCGCTTGTCGACTTTGTTCAACAATTTATTTTCGGAATGTCGCGGGGGAACAATGTTCTTCATAGGGCGTTGTTTCTGCTTCTTCTTACATCACACAGGGACTGTACGCATCAACAACGTACGAACAAATATAATTGGCGTCATTGCAGAGCCTAACTAGACCTGGCTCGGGATTCTGGCGGTGTTTTGAGCCTCCGAATTCGGTTTGCCAGTAGCCGCCAGCTGCACGGCACTCTTCGCGTTTATCCCGTGGGAGATGGCAATCCCAAGGCGGAGTTTCCCTCGTGGTGTTTTTGGGTTTTTTTTATGACAACTTCAGTTTTAACTTTCGTCGTGCCACGGGACGGTGGCATTTCCGTTCAGCTGACAGAACATCCACCCTGTGCCGGCGAGCGGTCCTTGGAAGATGATGTGAAAATAACCGCTTCTCAAGTCGTCAGCTCGCCGAAACTTTGCCGTAGCCTCGCGAAGAGCGCTCACTTACGTGTCGTTGGAAACAACAGGAGCAAAAAAATCACTTCTTGGAGCTGGGGATTGAGGCAAAATAAGTTGAAACCCCGTATTTAATGCCGTCATTTGTTTGCGCAGTCATTGGCGACTGGGCCAATATCGTCATAAACTCGCTGCACTGGAGAACCCGGTTTAATCGCGGTTTGGTGGTTGCACATCCTGGATTCGAACCCAGGCTCTGGGCGGTGCAGGCTCGGTGTCTCTGCCCCCGCCTTGGGTGGCGCCCTCCGGGTGATTTGTTTACGCGAGCGCGGGAGATATTGCGCTGTTGCTTCAAGGGGATTATTCTCGATGGAACAAAAAAACCCCAGCACGCTCTTGCTGTTCTCTGCAATAAGCAGCGCTGCGTTGGGCCCTGCCAGGAGCTGACCAAGACAAAAAAAACGGCACTTTTTAAATAGTAATTTATTTGCCCTCCTCTCCACTTGGAGCGAGTGAAGTTATTTCATTTATAAATGGTCTTCCACGCTGACTGCAGTTCTCTGCTCATGATCAATATATCCCTGCTCAGTGTTTCTGCGCTTAGCTCGATTGTGCTCATTGCTCACGTGTACAGATTGGACTTCACTGGCACGGGTGTGGGCCACTGTGGGAGTCCGCATGCCCCCAACGTGTGCCAGAGTGGCGAGATGTTAACTACCTCGCCTGGTATACAGGACGTCGTGGTTAATTTGGAGCTTTCGAGCATTCTCAGGATGAACGTAATCAACCAGGTAGGGTGTTGACTGTTATGTTATCCGACTCTCTGTTGTATTACATAACATTTCTAAGCATACTAGATTTGTGTTTCTATTTCATTTATACCTGATGATGATTGCTTGTGTTGCAATCGAAACGTCGTATGCTAGTATTTAATTTATTATTTTCTCTTTATACGTGACTTTACCGAAAGAACCAAAGAGTAGGACGTCGTGGGTTCGATCCCGACCCTGACGCCTGCTGTATATTTAAAGTTTGCATGTATCTCTCTCTCCCCGTGGCCACGTGGATTTTTCCACCGGGTCCTACGGTTTTTCCCTCCACATTTAGAATCAACATGCATTTGGGGTATTTGGCTGCTATACATTTCTACGTGATAATCCACTTCGTTGAGATATCATTTGTGGCCTGCTCGCTTCTGAAAAAGAGCTGCATAGCCTCAGTAGGCCTTACAGTCGTCTCAATACCAAGACAGCAGTAGCCATGCAGTAGTGAATCGAATTATAATAATTGCAGTAGAACTCTCATCTGTGACGCAGTGGGGGGTTCACACTTCGCGGATCCTATCTGTAGTCTACCCAGTAAAACAACTGCGAGTACGATGCCCCCTACTTCCTCAGTGTGCCTGAGCCTCTTGTCTCACAGGCTGCCAACTTATGTCACACGCGGGACACCGATCTAGGCCCGGCACGAGCCTCACAAGCGTGAGCGCCCAGTGCGGCCAACGCTGCGCAGCCACCCTCGCCTCCCAAGCGCCGATGTTCACACTTTCGTCGAGTGCTCATTTGAATTCAACTTGGGGGGGTGGGGGGAAGGCCCGGGACCAGTTCAGCCGTCGCTCGCCACGACACTTGAAACCCCAGTTTGATCGCGGATGGCTGAAGTTGGGATTCGAACGTTGGCTCTTGGCAGTTGCTGGCTTTGTGCCTCTGATCCCCTGAACCACCCCCGGCCACCTCCGCCCAACACCCTTAACGCGTAGCTCTCCGTGGAGCTTTCAGGTTGCGCCGCGGGCCTTTTGGCGTGAAATCCGACGTTTTGCTTCGTGTGCCAGCGGCTTGGCTTCTTTGTATGTATGTTAAACTTCTTTCGCACCGTACGTAGCCAACCGTGCTAGTCTGGAAGTGTGGAGGAAGGACAATAAACTGAACACAAAAAGCAGTTGTTAAAAATTTAGTTTTAAAAAACTTTCTTTGAAAGTGCATAGCTTCAGTGGCTTACGAATATCGGAAGGAAAGAGCGTTCCAGACGGGCTGCAGAAGCGCACCTGAAAGTGCGCGGTGCTGTGACTGTCTTCGGGAGCTGAATTCGGCACAACCACTGAAACCTCCGCGGTCGTACTTTTTGTGAACGCTCGCATCAGCTGGGCGCCGTTTCCTCTCTGGCTAAAAGCCCCCCGCTGGGTCCGTGCCACGCCGCGCCGCTCGTGCCCGCCCCCCCATCCCCCACCATCCCCCCCCCCCATACGCTCGTTGCCCTTGCCCGTCGGTCGGGATGAACGATACGTCCCTCGTGCGCCACCGCCCCCACCGCGTCCCACGGCAGCTCCGCTCGGCTGATTCACCGGGGTGGGGGTGAGGGGACGACGACGACGACGACGAGACGCGCGAGCGCACTTTTAATTCGGCTAATTGAGCCGCGGGCATCGGCGTCCTATCCCGGGGGACAAAGTCTACCTGCAAGGTTGGCGATTCTCGCAGCCAGCGGGCGTTCTCGCATGCGCGCCGTTTCCAGAGAGTGGTCGCGCTGCGACAAAGATCCCGTCGACGCACTCCGGGCGCGCGGCACACCAGCGGTTAGCGCTCTGTGTTGGCACAGCGGTTGGGGCGCGTCAGCTCCTCGCAAAGTCGAATTGCGGCAGTAGTCGGCGTCGTTGTCAGCATCGTCCGAAGCCATCATCCGCTGCTGGATGATGGCTTCCCCGCACCGTGTTTGGTTAAGTTGCTTTCGCTGAAGACTGAACTTGAAGATTTGTGTTTGCCGTGTTTATAAACGTGCGTGCTGGTATATGCGCAATGGTACTCCATTTCAGTCTGCAATACAAAGAGTTTACAGTTCTTTGCCAGTACATTGCTGAATAAAAGGCCTCTTTACGTACGCATGTATGTTGAACTATTTTCGCCCCGTACGTAGCCAACCGTGATGATCAGAGGTGCAGGTTGGGCGAGGGCCAGAACCAGTTCTGATGTAACTGGCCGCTGGTGACAACCGTGGCCAGGAATTGGACTCAAGTCGCTGGCTACGCAGCGTCGTGCGCTAACCAGTGCACAACAACAACAACAACACTAATGTCCATTATTTACCTGGGAAAGCCTCGTCGATGGTGAAGAGTCTTTTCCAGGACGATCCTGCCATGGGATGATTGGCCAGTTCCATGAATGAGTGTTTGTATGTATGTATATATGGGGAGCGATAGTGTAGCGGTTATCACACTTGCGCTACAAACCCGGTGAATCCAGTTCGATTCCCGCTCACGGCCAACACCAGTAACGATTGTCTGAACCGGTCATGGGCCACTACCAGGTCGAATTAGCCTCAAATGACGACGACGATGGCGATGATGATGGTGATGATGATGACAACGATAATGACGACTACCCATTACCCCTTCCGCTATCCCCGCCCTCCCCCCCTTCCCGCACACCCCCCCCCCCCCATTCCATCCCAGCACTGCGAGCGTGGCCGCCCTCACGGATGGCGTAGCGACCGCCGCGATGCACATCACCGCCGCGGTTCTGACGAGCGGCGCGACCTGGCTCAGCGTGGCGGCGGCGGCGGCGGCGTCGGGGCCGTGGGTCCGGGCCCCGCAAGTCCTCGAGGCGGGAGGGGAGCTGGCACAGGAGTCTCCTCTCGTGCCGTTCGTGCCGGCACCGTCGCACCCCAACAAGTCCCAGGAGTGCTTCGGCACGCTGGGTCGCAGCTCGGTGCTGCAGGGGACCCCGTTCGGCGGAGTCGTCGCCGTCCTGGGCATCAACTTCCTGCTGTGGATGGTGCTCGCCGCCCCCCAATGCGCACGCACGCACGCGCACGCACGCACGCACGCACACGCGAGCCGCCTAGCCACGCTGACGTGGGGCATAAGGGGCTAGCGCACTGCGCCTCGGAAGTCGCCGGTTCGATTCGATCTCCTTCCACCTTCGGTTAAAATATAGGGAGCTTTTCTTGAACAGCCACCCACCCCCGCTCCCTACCCGGCAGTATAGTCTGGCACACGTGTGCGCGTGATCCACCAACCCTTACCGCCGAGTCGCTGGAACAGGCACAACTGAGTCCTTTAGCCTTGGTGACCTCTCACCTGGTTCAAATTTAAGTTAATTGACGGTTACGTAACGCGTCGCACCTGGGCCAAGTCCGTTTAAGTTGCTGTCATTACAGACTACACTTACAACTCTGTGGTTGCCATGGTCATAAATGTGCATGCTAGGATGTGTACTCGTACACTCTTATACTCTGTATTATTCAAAGTTCACTGCCCATTGCCACTGTGCTGCTGGGTTAAGGCATTCTTCCTCCACCGTGTCAGTCATGGGGGTTGTTAAAACCTCACCACGCTGGTCCACGCGGGTTGGTGAAGGGGGAATCTCAGTTACCGTTCAGACACCGCTCGCCACTTCCTCTTTGTACGGCTGATGTAGACGCAGAGCAACAACGGCGATCTCACGTGAAGGTGGTCAAGCCCAGGTACCCGCATCAGGAGTAGCGGAGGAGTGGATCGTCGCTGTGTTGTCTCCCTTCGTATTTGTGGATCGGGCATTGCGTTATCATATGATGTCTGGCCTGTTCTGGATGACCGCAGTCGCACGCTGGAGAGTTGTTAATTTTAAATGTTTGCATCCGATATCCGCATCTGCCATTGTTGTGCGGATGCGGTTTAGGGTGGACCATGAGCTTCGTGGAAGATCAAAACCTGGGAGCTTTGGCGTTTGTTTGTGAGTTCTTTTGAGCTCCAAACAGCTCTCTCAACTTCATTGGGGGTTGAACTGACCAATGAGAGTTCCTCAATACATGGAGGTGTTTGAGCTCGATGATTGCATCAGGAGTGGTGCGTCGCTGTGAGGATTGGCCCCCTCCTTCGTATATATGAATCGGGTATTGAGTCGCTATTTGATCCACTGATGTTTTTCGCGCAGCGTGCCGACCACTTTGCCAACCGTGCTTACAATTTGTAGACGGTTTAAGTCTCATGCCCATCGCTTTGCTCCGTGATCAGCAGGAGGCGTTGAGTGATGAAATGATGCAACAATTCACAATTAAGCTACAACAAAATTCCGCAATTAATTGGAAGTTTGGTTAGGTCCTGCGGAAACGAGGGGTGGTGGCCTGCCACCATGACAAAAACGACGCTGCTGGTTTAGCGCTGGGGGGCAGTCGGCTTGTTGGGGCGGGGGGGGGGCGGCTTTGGGGAAAGCGTTGAAGACAGCGGAGGGGCCCGAGCGGAGAGATTTCACCGAGTCGGTGCAATTACCGTCGGCAACGCTCGCCTAATCTCGGCAACGCTCGCTTAATCTCGCTAAAAGGCTGCTGTAGAAAAATGCGCGGACGCGCGAAACTATTGGCAGGCAAAGCAAAGTGACGGCCTTATTAACGTTTGGAAATTAGCACCGTGCCTGCCCCCCCCCCTCGTCACCCCCCCCCCCCTCCACCAACACGAGCTCCCGCGAGTCGATCGATCACGCCGACGTGAGCGCCCCGTGAGCCCTGCCGCTTTCACGAATTAAAAAAAAAACGCGACAATAAATTGACTCCACTCCCTCAGCAGGTGCATCGTGCTGCCGATGCATATATCAACAAGAGTCACGAGCCCTGACACGCAGAGATTTGTGAAACGTACAAATCTACTGCGCTGCAAGGTTTCCAGGAGATGGCAGCGTACGCCAAGCGGATTCCTATGCCCATCTGTGCGGAGATTTTGCGTGCAAAAAAACCTCCGCGGTAGAATCTCTTGTCTGCTTGCTGAAGACGACGCGTATGGAATAGCCCTGTCTGACGGTTCCGTCTTTCCTTCGCTCTCTCCCTCCCCGTGCTGCAGCTCCTCCTGCTCTTGTTCTCCGTGCTGCGCAAGAAGGCGTGGGACTACGGGCGCCTGGCGCTTCTCAACGACAACGATCGGTGGGGGGGCGGCACTCCGTCACGCGCCATCGACCGTCTGATTTACCGAACACGAGTCCACGTGGTGTACTAACACCGCACTACGGCTGATCAGCCAGATACAGCCCACGACTTAATTTCACATGGCCTGTGACCATGTGAGGGCCTGCTGCTTCGCGAGAGACTGCCTAATTTTATATTTTTAAAGTTTATTTTGTATCCTCACATTGAGCTTTTGTGGGATGTGTGGATCGTCGGACGGTTGTTTTTGTTGCCCTTAATAATGAAATCACTGCCCACTTATTTTGTTTTATATTCATTTTGTCTTTCATTTAGACCCTTGGTGCATGGCCGCTGGAAGAACTACGAGTATGTTTTCCATTTTTATTTTGACTTTCATTTTTTCAATTACATTTTTGCCCGGCGACACGCGCACAAGCTGCTCATCTCGCCCGTGCGCGCGTGCACGTGTGTGCACGTGTACCGCCATCGACACGCGTGTGCGGCGTGTCGTGTGAGCTGACGGCTGCGCTCGTAACATGCACACGTGCTTGTGCGTCTGCGTGAGTGAGTGTATGGCGAGTGCATAGCCCTACAAGTTCGATTAACGCCCATGGCAAACATTAGTGGTGAGTAATATCCGAACGGGTCATGGGCCTCACCACAGCTCGACTTCGCCTTAAATGCGTATCTGGCACGGTGTGTAAATGTCAGTAGTGGGGAGACAAAGGCGGCCAGGCGCGGTTCTGGTCACACCACCCCACGGTGTGCCGTACCAGCGGTAGCAGTGGGGGGAGGGTTGCGGAGGTGGCGGGTGTCGTCGTCCTCGTGTGTTCACGTGTCTGTGTGTGTGTGTCCGTGCGCGTGCGTGCAGTTTCCACGGGGGTCTCTACGAGGAGAGGGGTGCTCGTGAGCGCCTGGACTCCCAGTACAGCATCACGGACTACGAGAGCAAGGACAAGGTGCGGTGCGGTGACGACGCTCGCGCGCCCTGGGCCCGACTTAAACCATGAATCAATAAGCAATCGAAGCCGTCTGGAAATGGAAAACAGGAGCTCTCCGACGTGTCATCGGAGTCAGAATCAAGAATATTTGTTTAGGCTGGGGGAATCCTATGAGCCGTAAAGCTCTTTTTCACAGACGCCCAGTAGGGTTGCACGAGGTCGCGCCGCGCGTTGACCGCGCGATGTCTGTGTGGTTCGCTCCGCGTGTTGGGTGGGGGGCTTCTCATGGAAAAATCCAGTTCCTGAAGTCGCTCCCAGCACGTGCAGCGAAACGTCGGACTTGGCGCCGAACAGCGCGCGGTGCGAGCTGACATCGCACCAGGCAGCCAGGCAGGCAGGCAGCAGCACAGCTGCCACAAAGCTGTGCCGCAGTGTGGAAAAAAAAGCATTTTCGTTTTTTGTTCTTTTCCGTACTGAATTATCGGGGTAATGATTTACCCTCATTGCAAAGCAATTCACTTTCGCGATTCAAGGTTTTTTCGTTCAATTCAAGACTCAGACTTTGGCCCAGTGATCAGCGCATCACACTATCGTGAACCCGGTGAGCCGAATTCTCTTCCTCAACCGGAGCTAACATCAGTGGCTGTGAATATCTTTGACCTCTTAAATGTCATTGGCTTCACTTTCGTGACTGAAATCATCGCGCTCGTTATAAATCGTCGCCCCCTCATCGTCATCATTATCAGCATCATTATCCTCACTATTGATTGTATCATCATCCGAATCATTCTTGTCCCCATCATCATTCTCATCATCATCATCGTCGTCGTCGTCCGTCCGTCTCTGAGTGGTAATCACCCCTCCCCCCGTCGTGACTCCACGTGGAGTTCCGTTCGCTCCGAGTCTCTGGAGCCTAACGCGTCGCTTTGTCTCTTCCCCCCACCACAGGGTCTGTGCTCCTGGCTCACGGCCATTTTCCGCATCAAGTGAGTTCACCCCCCCCCCACCTCCCACCACCTCTGTACCGCCCTGCGAATCGCAACAGACGGATGTCTGGGCTGGGAACTCGGTGTGTGGGTGATGCCGTGTAGCGTTAGCGTTCTGCGCTGCGACGCCGGCGACCCGAGTTCGATTCCCGCTCATGGCCATCGCCGGTGACGATTATCTGAACCGATTCTGGGCCTCCCCTAGGTCGACTCAACCTCAAATAACTACCTGGTGCGGTGTGTAAACATCCCCACTGGGGAGACAAAGGTGGCCGGGCGCGGTGTTGGCCACCCACCCCCTTGTGCGCCATGCCGGCCTTCATAGGTGCTCGCTAACAGCACTTGCCCCAACAGTCAAAGCTATACGGGTCTTTGTGCTCGGGTGTGGGTGATGGATGTTGGGCCCTGAGTGTTTGGCGATGAGTGCCGGGCTGTTGGAGGACATTGCCGAGCCGTGGTTGTTAACAATAATAATAATACTTTCAACGGGGGGCACGGTATCCGCTCGCTCTCCCGAAGAGTCGGAGGGTGCTAGGGAAGACGTTACCCACGGCCGAGTCGCCACGATGAGTGGAGGAGCGGTGGCTGGGAGATGGCGGTGGTGAATTGATCAGAGATGTTGCAGGGGGGGTCCCCCCTCCCTTCCCCCCCACCCTTGCACATCCTCGGCATGATACCACACCAAGAGGCAAGGGGCAGGCATGAGATGGCCGAGGGCATGTAATTTACAGCTCTTTCTAAATCCACTGCTGGATGAAGGCCTTCACTCGCGAGGCTGGTTTTTCACCCTGCTAAATGCATTCATCAGGACAAATATGAAGTGCGTGCACGTTTATGCCCTGCTTGGGAGTAGTTTACGTTCTTTGGAAAGATGTGCACATCTTTATTCATTCCACACATTTGAACAAAGCAATTATTTTGAGTAAACGCCGCTCGTTCGAACAACTAGGCGACTGGGCAACCTGTTCAACGAGACCCGATGCGCGCTCTGTCTCTGCCCCGTCCCTTCCACCTCGTCGCTCCCTCCGTCCCCTCGTCTCCCGCTCGACCCAGGGATGACGAGGTGAAGTACAAGTGCGGCGCGGACGCGGTGCACTACCTGTCGTTCCAGCGGCACATCATCGCGCTGCTCGTCGTCGCCAGCATCTTCTCCCTCGCCATCATCCTGCCCGTCAACTTCTCCGGGAACCTGCTGGGTACGAGCGACGATGTGTGACGTGTGACGAAGCCGTGTGACGATGTGTGACGACGTGTGGCGACGAGCGATGCCGAGCTACGCTGAGCCAACCGGGAATCTCTCTCTCCAGCTTGCCGCTGCTGTGCCCGTTGTTTTAAAATCGTGAACAATGGTTTCAGTGTGCGAGGTCACGGTCACAGTCACTGCTCGGGTTCATGTTGTTGTTGTTGTTCCTGTTTGTCCAGGCGTTCTCACCAATATCTGTCCTCACGGTGTCACGTAGCTGTTGTTACTGTTGTCTAAAGTGAAGGTACGGCGATAGCGGTTGCCTATCGGTGTACGTGCACAAAATGCAAAGCCTGCATTGTTGAATTATTGTATTGGTCAATGTCATCATTATCAACGTCATCGTTATCATCGTCGTCATCGTGATTGCCACCGTTGTCATGGGTATCACGAATGTCGTCACGTCCCAATTAACGCGCACTCTCTGTTTATCACATTTCACAGGGAATTCCCCGACAAACTTTGGCAGAACGACCATCGCTAATCTGGAGGCTGGGTAGGTACGAGGGTGCTTAATTGAGGGTGGCTGGCTGGGTGAGTGGGTGGTTGAGGGCCTGGGTGGAGAACTACGTGACTGGGTGAATGGTTGGGTGGCTGGGTGGATGGATGGGTGAGGAGGTGAGGTGGAAGGTTGGCCGGGTAAGTGGATGGATGGGTCGATGGATGGCTGGTTGGATGGGTGGCTGGGTGGATAGATGGTTGGATGATCGGATGCGTGAGTGTTATAAGCGAGTGGGAGACGAGGAAGTGCAAACACTGCCCGCTTTGTTCTCCGTGCCAGGGACGTGCCCCCCCCCCCCCTTTGTGCCCCCCCCCTCCCCTGCTCTGCCACGCACACACGGAATGCGTTAGGCCCGGATTAGCTGTGCCTCGGCAAGCGGAATGCTTCGGAAAATAACTTAAAGTTTAAAACCCGTAAACTCGAGCCTCTGCGAGCGCTCTTCTTGGCACTTGTCACCGGGAGGCTCTTTTACGAGACGCCGATTGTAAAACAATAAGCCACTGCAGGCGGGAGCGGAGCCGCGGTGCTTAGCGCACTTCGCCAAGAACCTGGCGACCTGAGTTCGACTGCTGGCCGCGGCTATCATCAGTGGCGAGTGACATCTGAACCGGTTATTTACGTGCCCAACAAAGAGTGTGCCACGCCTCAATCAAACAACAACAACAATCCATTCTCATTCATTGAATTCAATTAAATAATTTTTAAAGCCGAATAAGTACGACGATACATTTTCCATGCGGTCATAAGAATCGGTTTTTACCCTTTCTGCCAATAGAATGGGAGGTGAAGATGTTCAAACACCAAACACCTTGCTCCAAGGAGTCAAGTCTGTATTCGTACTCGAGGCAAAAACGTGCGAACAAAAAGTGGCTTCCTAATAATGTGGCACCAACTTTGGGGGAGCCCTGCGTGTCCCTGATCCCCCCCACTGATGGTAAATGTCCCCATCACGTGCACGCGCGCGCGTGTGTGTGTGCGCGTGCTCGCTAACAGCACTTGCCCCTACAGTCTGTTAGGGCTATACAGGAGATCTTTGTCTTTGTTGTGCAGGGACCGGCTGTTGTGGCTGCACATCACGTTCGCCATCGTGTACCTGCTGATGACTGTGGGGCTCATGCGCAGGCACACGGCCTCGCTGCAGTACGCCGAGGAGGAGCTGGTACGTGGGGGGGGGGGGGGAGATGGGGGGGGGAGATGGGGGGGGGAGATGGGGGGGGGGAGATGGGGGGGGGGAGATGGGGGGGGGGAGATGGGGGGGGGGAGATGGGGGGGGGGGAGATGGGGGGGGGGAGATGGGGGGGGGAGATGGGGGGGGGGAGATGGGGGGGGGGAGATGGGGGGGGGAGATGGGGGGGGAGATGGGGGGGGAGATGGGGGGGGAGATGGGGGAGGGGAGATGGGGGAGGGGAGATGGGGGAGGGGAGATGGGGGAGGGGAGATGGGGGAGGGAGATGGGGGAGGGGAGATGGGGAGGGAGATGGGGGATGGGAGATGGGGGAGGGGAGATGGGGGAGGGGAGATGGGGGAGGGGAGATGGGGGGGGGGGGGAGATGGGGGGGGGGGGGAGATGGGGGGGGGGGAGATGGGGGGGGGAGATGGGGGGGGGGAGATATGGGGGGATGGGGATGGGGGGGAGGATGGGGGGGCGATGGCGAGGGGGAATGGCGAGGGGGGACTTACCCTGACCGGAGTCCTCACAGAAGCTAGCTGGGTAACTGGCTACACGGGATTTATTTTTGGGTAACAAATGCACGTCGAATTGAATTGAGATTGCAGAAGCAGTTCAGAAGACGTATAATAGAGAGCGACAGCGAAGAAGGTGGGAGCAACGAATACAGAAGAGTAACACGGTTAATTTAAAGTTGCTCTAACACTTCACTTTGTGCTCCTATGAATGCAATTCTTTCGGCAGAATATTATGTAAACCTTAGAGGATATTAAAAGCGGATTACTTTTAGTGCTCCGAGTACAGGAGGATCGTGAGAAGAGTATGAAAGTGAGAGCCATCTCTTATTTTCTGGATTCTGTAACCGTAATAATAACATCAACGTGGCACATTAGGAATCAACGACATCAACAACAACGCCACGTGAGGGCTGTTACCCACCGATTCCGTTGATCTCAGCTGGTCCCTGCGCTCTTCCTCCTGCCGCCACAGGTCACGAGGACCATCTTCATCCTCAACATCCGCAAGGACGTCACGGACGAGGGCAAGATCATCGAGCACTTCCAGTGAGTGGTGGCCAGGTGGTGCCACCCCGGGGGGCTTTTAGGTGGTCAGCACACTGAGCTACGATCAAAGCGGTCTTGCACGTGCGTTGAAATTCTCTCGCACCGTACGTAGACAAACCGTGCTAATCGTCCGTGGATAGATAAATAGTGAAAATTGGTTTCTGAACATGCCATGGACGGCCCATAAGTTGACTCCTAGTGTTGTGTGTAAACAGCAAAACATTATCACCGAAAAGACAACGGTGGCCGGGCACGGTGCTGGCAATACCACGCCGACTTTAATGGGTGCTCGCTAACAGCACTTGCTCCTAAAGGCTATGCGGGGGATCTTTGTGTTTGTGTGTCTGTGTATTCATGTGTGTCTGCATGTCTATATTTATTTATGTGTGCGTGTGCGGTATCGTAGCGGTTAGCGCGCTGCGCTACGAACATGGCGACCTGGGTTCGATTCCCGCTCACGGCAAACACCAGTAACGATTATCTGAACCGGTCCTGGGCCTCCCCTAGGTCGACTCAGCCTCAAATAAGTACCTGGTGCAATGTTTAAACATCGCCACTGGGGAAACAAAGGCTGCCGGGCGTGGTGCTGGCCACTCACCCCCTGGTGTGCCGTGCCGGCCTTTATAGGTGCTCGCTAACAGCACTTGCCCCTACAGTCTGTTAAGGCTATACGGGGGATCTTTGTCTTTGCTTTTGCCTACATGCGTGTGCGTGTCCCGTGTGTGTCTGTGTATTCATGTGTATGGGCGTGTCTGTGTATTAATATGTGTCTGTGTAGTTAGTGTGTGTGATTCTTATGATAGTCTCTGTGTGTGTGTGTCTGTGTATTAATATGTGTGTGTGCGTACCTGTGTGATTGTGTGTGCGCGTGCGTGTGTGTCTGTATATTAATGTGTGTGTGTGCGTGTGTAACCATGCATGCACAGGGAGGCGTACCCCTCGTGCAAGGTGAACCAGGTGCAGTTCTGCTACAACCTCTCCAAGCTGGTGCGACTCGACCGCGAGCGGTGAGAGCCTCCCTGGGGGACCCGCCCAGCACCGAGAGCACCACCACCACCACCACCCGCTCCAGACTAACTCTGCCATGCTATCCGGAGCAGCAGTTGCACATCGGGAGGAGGGGTGGGGGGAGTTGCGGGGGGGGGGGGGAGTCGCCCCCCCCACCACCCCCCCTCACCCCCCAACCTTGAGACTCCAAATTAAAGTAGTTTTTTTATTGATGTTTACCAGAGGCAATTAATGAAATAGTTGCTCTTGTTTCGGGACCGGCCCCCAAAAGATCCGCCTGTGATCCTAAGAATGCATCGGCATGAAAAGGCCTTAATCCAGCAGTGGATAAACAGTGACAGCAGGCGATAATGAAGAATAATAATTTCAATTTTCCGAGCCCCGAGACTTACTTTCAGGGGTGGCCTCCATTGGAATGTTTGGCCAATCACACGATCAAGTGTTTGGCTCGGTGGGCGTTTGTCCGCGGACCGCTTGTGAGTGCGCGTCTGGGGAGATGCGTCGCGATGCTCCCCACCATCGAGGCGGCACAGTTTCGCTTCCGAGCCGTGCGAGTTGCCAAGTCTCATTCGTCGCTCTGCCTGGGGCCCCCAAGTTCCCTGGGGTCGTCTTCGAAGCCAAGAAAAGGTCACCGCGATCGCACGCGAGCGGCCGCCCTGACGTTCTCTCCCCACGTGCTTCGACTCTGTGCCGCTTCTCTCGCCACGTGACAATCTCCGATAGCCGCCTCCTCCTCGAGGTTAACTCGGCCTAAAACGTGTTCCCGCTTCGGAGGCTTTGCGGTCGACAACGTCACCGGCGTTCAGTACAAACAATCTCAGAATTTCGGGGGAAAAAAGGGGACATAGACATGAGCGTTATATTTATTAAACAACCGACAAAAAACAGGACTCTTTAATATCCCAGGACGACTTAGAGACTTTCCCTGGACAGGTGCCTCAAAACGAGAGAAATCCTGGCAAAGCCGTGACAGGTGGCAACCGGAGGCAGCGGCAGTGTCGCTCGCCTCACCGTGCCCGTGCGCGGGGCCTTACTAGGCGCTTGCTAACAGCGCTCTGACCCCCGTCTCGTCTGCCTGCGGCGCAGGAAGAAGGTGGCGAAGGCTCTGAAGTACTACGACGTGCGACCCGAGGGAGAGACCATCGACCCGCGGCCGTGCGGGCACCTGTGCTGCTGCAAATGCTGCGGGAACCACCAGGTGAGCGGTGGGAGGAGGGTGCGCCGTGGTGGAGAGATGTCAACTGTCTCGCCTGGTATACAGGAGGTCATGGGTTCGACCCTGACGCCTGTATAGTTGGGGTCCCCCCCCCCCCGCATTTAGAAACGGGCATTGAGAGCATTTGGCCGCTGTAAATTTCCACACGATAAGCCACTTCGTTGAGCTATCGTCCTGGTTGATAATAAAACAATCATCATTCACAGCTCGTGAATTATGATGTTACGTTACGTCCGTGTGCGCGCAGGAGGTGGACGCGGTGGAGCACTACAAGGGGCTGAAGAACTCGCTGAGCGCCGAGTGTGAGAAGGAGCGCAGCAAGGTGCGCTCACAGCCGCTCGGCATGGCCTTCGTCACGTTCCAGGACGACCGCACGACGTCCGAGTGAGTGCCACGCCGCACCACCACCGCCACAACACCGGCGCAGCCATGACACCGACATGGCCACGATGCTGCCACCGGCACAACGCCACTATGACACCGCAACAACACTGACATGACCACGATGCCACCACAACGCCGACACCGACACAACGCTGACACCACCAGAGCCAACACCGAAACTGTCACCACGCTGACACCACCACGACCCCGACACCACCACTGGCACTGTTGTCCTCTCCTGTTGGGAGATGGGCACCGTGGTTGAGTGGCCATCATGTGCCGTGAGATAAACGAGTGGAGGCTGGCCAACAGCGGGAACAGTACGGTTGTGTACAAGTCATTCGGCATCTTGGCACAGAAACACAACGTGCTTGTGGAGGTGGATTTGTTTGATCAGTGTCCCAACAGACAGTGAAAGAGTGTGTGTGAGAGGGATTTGCAAAGGATCATGGGTAAATGTTTTCGACCGGGATAGGCGTTCATCCAGGCAGCGGATTAAGAGGAGAATGATGACAGTGATGACCGTGATAATTTACTGTGACGCCAGTGAAGTCTGGCCGGGCACACCGATCACACAACCGGCACACGCAGTCGGATTCTCACCATTGAAAACAATCGTGGTGTTCATTTACTTTTCCTTATGATGATATGCAATTTCTCGCGGCTCAAGTATCATAACGTTCAACATCGGTTTTAATGATTGAACGCGCGCCGTTCCGCGTGCACTTGTGATTTGCCTCGTGGCGCGTGGAAATTCCTCCCCCCGGAGAGGTTTGTGTGCGAGAGCGGCCATCGGTTGGCACGGTGCCACGGGCCCCGTGTGCCACGCAGGTGTTGCTCCGTGGAATGAAGCCGCGTGTTTGTTTGATCCCTTGATCCCTGTCCAACGGCGCTGCAGCATCCTGGCCGACTACAACTTGCTGCGCTGCTGGAGGAGACCGCACGTGTCGCGCCTCTCGGAGGAGCTCGGCGCCAGCAGCTGGAGGGTGCGCTACGCCCCGGACCCCAACTCCATCATTTGGTACGCGCTCTGCCCCCGCCCCCACACCCCCGCGGCTCCTCGTCAGTTTTATGTGTACGAGCTCCGCACGCCGTCACCTCGAGAACCTCCTCCATCACGAGCCGTCGTCCGCCAACCGTGCTGATCCTCCTCCGACTAGCATGGTCGGTTGCATATGGTGCGGAAGAAGTTCAGCGTGCGTGCACAATCGCCACGCCAACAAACCGTCATCTCCTGATACCTCGGGTCGACAATCCATGGTATCCTTAATCGCCACGTCAATGGACCTTGATCGTCAGGTCCACAAGCCGTTGCTTCCAGGACCACCGGCTCTTGTTCTGGAAGTGCACAACTTTGGTCTGGAAGATCCATAGGCTGACGGGACGAGTTTTTGTAAAAATAAAAATTTAAGTGGAGAAATGCACTTTCTTTCTGTCGGTGATATACTCGGTACGTGCTTCATGTGCGTTCGTTGTGCATCGTAAGAGCGTGTCGCTCGGGCCCTGACAAGCTCGTCTTCGTGACGTTCGTGTTGCTGGTGACCGCAGGGAGAACTTGCAGGTGCAGGGCTTGATGTGGTGGTGCCGCGTGTTCGTGCTCAACGCTCTGCTCTTCCTCCTGCTCTTCTTCCTCACCACGCCCGCCATCATCGTCAACACCATGGACAAGTTCAACGTCACCAAGCCCATCGAGAGCCTCAACGTGAGGCCCGCTTCCTTCCCGCCACCACCAGCCCCACGCGCGCCTCTCCTCCTCCCTCCGTTTGATTTCTTTACGAATTTTTTTTCTTCCCCAAAGCTTACCCTGGCTATGCAGTAAAAAGCGAATATCACAGAGATATTTCGATTTAAAGTTTTCGTGACTGCAGGGATTCATCTTTCGGTAAAGTCACGTAGAAGGGAAATAATACAATAATACAAATACAAATAAAACATTGTATTTCATTATGTTTTATTTTTATTATTTTATTATTTCCCTTCTACGTGACTCAGAGATATCTCTAAGATCTCTTCAAACGATATCTGGGTCTACACAGAGTAGGGTTTTATTATTATGATTATTCCGATTGTTTACCTAGGAGAGCCTCACAGTGTGAAGCCTCATCCGAGTCTCGCAAAAAAAAAATTCAGGAGGGTCCTGCCACGTTTTTTGCGGTATGGGAGCGATGATTATTTAGTTGTAAACCCAAATCGAGTTATGGGATACTTCCCACACGCCCTACTACAGAGAGAGGTTAATGTCCGGCGCACGACAGTACAATTGATCATTCTCAGCGCTGGAATTTAGCCGATTGAATCTCAAAATCAGGTTTAATGTGATGGGAGTTGTTTTGTGCAGCAGCCATTGGTGACGGGCTGAGACAATCGACTAACTAGACTTAAAGAACGTGGTTTTATTCGCTTGCGGCCGTCTGGTATTGGAACCCAGGTGCTCGGCGGTGGCCAGCTCAGACCTTGAAGACAAAGATTTCTTGTATTGTAGACATTTACTCTACATTGTAGGCATGGAGCGATTCACTGCGCCCCAGCGATCCAACGAATTGTCGCGATTCGTGGTCACATTGATTCAAGAACCGACTTTTATTTTTGTTGTATTCGTTGCGCCATCTAGTGGCCAGTTACGATTCCCGGTCGCGACATATGGCCAGAAGCTGCGGTCACGGTCGGTCAAGGATACGCGTGAAACAGTGGCAGCCTACGGAGGGAATACGTTCAAGAGGACTTCCACAACGGAGATGGAGCGATGAAATTGGTCCGTGTGCTGGCGGGCATTTGACAACAGATCATTGCATCGCAAGATCATGAGAGATGGCGACGGCTGATGATGTACATGTATTTACATAAGAGGTGCAGCGGCAGCGAGATGTTAACTCCCTCACCTGGTACGCAAGAGGTCGTGGGTTCAATCCCGACCCTGACGCCTGTATATTTGGAGTTTGCATGTCTCTCTCCCCATGCTCGCGTAAAATATATATTTTTTATAATAGCATATACGGTGTCTGTATGGATGTATGTTGAACTTCTTTCATACCGTACTTCACCAGCCGTACTAATCGGAGGTGTTGCATGGTCCACAGAGCCCAATCGTCACCCAGTTCCTGCCCACGCTGCTCCTCTGGGCCTTCTCCGCCGTGCTGCCCTTCCTCGTCTACTACTCCGTTTTCCTCGAGTCGCACTGGACCCGGTGCGCGCCCTCAACCCCCCGTCCTCTGCTGCTCCTAATGTCCAGAAACTTGCTCCGCTCCACGTGCGCTTCTCTTCCCCTGGACGTGCGACGACGCGTCAATTTGAAAAGCGATTGCTGTGCTCACCGAGTCGCAACGCACACACGCGCGTCGGTTGTCGATGCGCTACGTATCGGGACTGGTTCGAGTGAAGCCTGCAGCCGCCAGTAAAGGCGTTGTAGTCTCCGCAATGATTAAATTGTTCTGGAGTAGAATCTTGGTCACAAATCGTGGCATTTCATGGAATATCGACGTGGGAAAATGTGTGTGATTGGGGATCCATCTCGGCTCTGTTGTGTGAAGAATAATTGAAGGAAACTTTCATCGGCTCAACTGTTTTACCTGCGTCACTTTATTTTGTTCACAATTTTGTATTTGCATGTACTGTACAAGACATTTTATTCGTGCCATCCAAAATTAGACATGCCACACAGCACTTTATATATCTATATAAAAAAACGACTGTTAAGGTACAATTCATGTCATTTACCAAAAAATATATTTAAAATTAACCGGGGGTGGAAAGAATATTTAAAACGATACTGCTGAAAACCTCTACCTGCACCGATCCATCACGTATACAACGTGCTGATTTGTGTCCCTTCCAAATCCTTCACGTACCGCAGTATTTTGCTCACGCGCCATAACCGACTGGAATCTGTACGCAAACTTAAGCAAGCCTTCATGTGGACATTCGGGAAACATTGTTTTGCCTCTGCGATCGGTCAGACAATGTATGATTGTAAAATTGTGCTCGTGAATTGGCTAATAACACCTTCAATATATAGAAGACCACAGAGATTGGGGGGAGGGAATTTTTCACTGGTTGCTGCCTCTCCCGCTCGTCTGTGGTTCATCTTCTTGAGTCGTTCTCTCTCTCTCTCTCTGCGAGGGGCGAAGCGAAACCGCAGCGAGGCAGCACATTACAAGTCAAAACTATTTCTTCAAATTATCTTCAAAATAATTTCGCGAGCCCAGCCCGTGGCTTTCGCGTTCGGGCTGTTTTTGGTTTGGCTCGCCGAACCTCGCGCGGCTGCTCCGTCTGACCTCGGGCACGTTTCTCTGTGTCCGCCTTTTCAGCTCGACCGAGAATCGCACCACCATGCACAAGTGCTACTTCTACCTGATCTTCATGGTTCTCATCCTGCCCTCGCTCGGGCTCACCAGGTCGGTGGGCCGCACTGAGGTTGACAGTGTTGGTGCATTCGCTCCGTGCGCGAGGTGGGGGGGCCTCGATGAGCCTCATCCAGACGCTTGGACAAAAGTCCGAAATGTTAGAATAACGCCGTGTTGCTTTTGCAGACTTACGTGATAGAAAATTAGGCAAACTTGTAAAAAAAAAAACCAGTGCTAAAATGAGTTTTCCTCGAAGTCTGCCCTCTGGCGGTGGAGGCATGCGCGCCGTGCCTCCCCGACTCTTCCGACGGCGTCATCACGTTGGACGTCACCTTGTGACCGCCAGGCGTCATCTCGCGGTGAAACGTCACTTGGTAATCACGGAGGACAAACGACCTTTGTTATCAAGGCCCAGCGATGGCGAAACGGTGGTCAATCAGTAACTTCAACAGCGCTGATTTTCTGGCGTGCGACTTGCTGTACACACATTACAACGTTTGTGGAGCCATAACCAAACAGGGGTTTTATCAGCCATTTCCACTCATCGGGCATATTTTTGCCACACAGCAAGTTGAGCCCGACACGAGTCATGCAACTTAACGGCACGAACTCCGCGCATTCTGACGCCACCCCCGCCACAGCCGACCGCACTCGCCGCCGCGTTTTGTCCCAGATATCACCCCACAAAGGAAAGGAACTTTCGTTCGTTTCACGTTGTCAAATTATGGGGCCTTTTTTTTTTCGATGCGCTTCTCGACCGCCGCATAGAGCGTTTGGCGAGGGCCCTGGAGAGAGGAATTAAAATTGCCCCCTCACCTCCTGTTCAATTACCCCCCCCCCCTACTCAAGGTAGCCGAGAGCCTAGGGCCCCACCCAGTCTGTGGGTCCCCCGACCCCCTCTCCCCCCGGTGCAGTTGCACCGCCTTCGCACGCTCGATAGCTACCGGCCGCTGCTTCTGAGCCGCGCGAGAGCAGCGGGGAGGGGCCAATGCCGATGTGAGCCGGGGCCAATGCGTGTCGATGATGCCAATGAACAAACCGGCCATGTGGTCTCCTGTCTAAGAACGTGATGAAGCGTGCCGCGCATTTTGAATGCATAGCGGAATAACAATCATTGCTTTTTTTCAAGTGTACGTGCTTCACCCGCACACAGTCTAAGATGTCATGGTGTGTGTGCAGGGCAGGCATGCAAGTGTGGCGTCGTAGGGTGTTAGTGGTAATTGCACTGCGTTTTAAACCCAGGCAACACGAGTTCAATACCCGATCACGGCTAACGTTGAGTGGCGAGAGGTATCTGAACTTGTCCTGGGCCTCCCCTTGATATACTGAGCGATAATTGAGCACCTGAATTCAGTTTGTAAACATCGGCAGTGGGGAGACAAAAGCAGCTGAGCATTGTCCGGGCAAGATCACACGCAAGCGCAGTGGTGACGGTTACCGCCACTGAGTGTGCGAATGGAGGCTGTTGTTTTACTTATGTATTTGTGGTGTGTGTGTGTCCACTCTCACGTGTGTCGTCACAGCCTCAATGTGTTCTTCCGCTGGCTGTTCGACAAGGATTTCCTGGAACAAGGCTCGGTCCGTTTCGAGTGAGTACACGAGCGTTTGATCTGAATCCTCGCCGGCAAGGTGCACTGCGTCCTTCCCCCACACCTCCGATTAGCACGGTTGCCGACGTACGGTGCCAAAGAAGTTCAACATACGTACACACTGACATAAAGAAAACCACTCATCAGCGCCTCCAGTCAGTGCTGAGCCATTGCATGCTGGCACCAACACTTAGCGATGGGCGGTGGTTGTCGTGGTTTGTATTGAGGCTTGCCGATTTGTTATCAAACACCCCTGCCTCTTTCTCTCATCGCCCCCTCCGTGCCCTCCTCCCTGGCAGAAGCGTTGCACTGGGGCACTTGGCAATCGCCAACCAGCAGCAGCTGCCGCATCATTTCACGTTGTTGTTGCTTGTGTTGTTGTCGGCCTGTAACTTCCCACTGCTGGACAAAGGCGTCCACCATTTTCGCCCATATTCCATTCTCTCCCCACTCAAAACAGCTCGAGAGGAGTTGTACACCCCTAGCTGCCACTGCAATTTAGTGGCCTAAAATACAATGTTTCGCTACGGATGATCGCTGCAAAGTATGATCTGTGTTTTGATTTAGTGTGCTGATCTTAAAGGTGCATTGAAAAATGTTGATACTCCGACTGATGCTCCTGCTGTTGTGGAGAGACTCATGCAGCCAGCTATGGCTGCAGAGTTTGGTAGTACATGTTGTTTACGTCGTTTATTGTGAAAATTCGGTCATTGCTTTTATGGCTTTATTTTGGTGATTTTCGAAAAGTTTTTTGGTTTGGCCATGTTTGTTTGTTGTAGTACAGAGTTAGACTGATGGCCTTAATCTAAGTTGTCTTGTGGTTGTTGTTTGACTTGCATCCCACTGGGATTTTTGCACACAGCGTTGGTGTACGGTGCTTTTTTCTGCAATATTTTGCTGTCTTTTCTTGGATTTTCTGTTTGCACATAGTCACTTTAAGATGTTTTCTTGTTCATGTTTTTGTTTTTTGTTTGTTGCGGTTGCACCCGATTCAAGAGCCGAATGGCTCACAGGGCTATACCTAATACATGAACTTGAGCTGCTCTCGTACAGCAGTGGCCTCTGAGCTTACGCGACGTCGTCCCACCGCTTGACGTCTCTTCCGCTGCTTCCTTTTGCCTCCGCTCGGTTTCCACTCTGCAGTAGAAAATACGTTGTCCACCTTTCGTCGCCGGTTCTCAAGTTGATTTGTGTCCCCGATGGACGAATCTGACCGCTGCGCCCCCTAGTGGGAGACCGGGGTAGCAACTTCCAATCAAATCACAGACCTGAGTCAAGCGTCTACAGAGGTCGTGTGCTTTGTCAGCCACTTGCATTGTTAATGAAGCCCACGTTAAGAATAAACTCTGTTGTCATTGGCCAGACAGAGTTCCGTTACTCTGCCATTGCCGCAGCAAGGTGCCACTGGCGAATGCACTAAACGGGTTGCTCATAGATTTCGATTTAAAGCTTTTGTGACTGCAGGGATTCATATTCTTGTTTTTTTTGGTAAAGTCACGTAGAAGGGAAACAATTAAATAAAACAAATATAAAACAATAACATTTCTCACGACGTTTCTTGCTGTGGATTTCACACCTGATGATGATTGCTTGTGTTGCAGTCGAAACGTCGTGAGAATTTTTATTGTTTTATATTTTTATTATTTTAGTATTTCCCTTCTACGTGACTTTACCGAAAGAACCAAGGGTTGCTCATAGTAAATGCGTTATCAGTGCTTACCCACAGGTTTGTCCAAAATCGTGGTGCTGCCCATGGTTGTGTTCTCTCATCTCACCCGCTTGTGATGTCTCTGTCTCTCCCTGCCTGTCCGCGTCTTTCGCCTGCCACTCGGGACGTTCGCTGCCGTTCCCTCCACGACCCCCGCACTGCCGCCCGCTCCAGGTGCGTCTTCCTGCCGGACAACGGCGCGTTCTTCGTGAATTACGTCATCACGTCGGCGTTCATTCGGCACGGCCATGGAGCTGCTGCGGGTGCCGGGGCTCCTCCTGTACGCGCTGAGGCTCTGCTGGGCCCGATCGAAGGCCGAGCGCAAGAACGTCAAGCAGGTGCTGACACACAATTACCCGCGACACGACCGCCCACTGAGCTACGTAGCTCTTGTTAAAAAGCGACCCGACCAAATGATTGCTCAACAAAGTGGCATTACCACGTGGACATTTTTAGCAGCCAAATACTCGCGTGATGTTGATTCTACACGCGGAGGGGAAAACCGGAGGACCCGGAGAAAAATCCACTCAACCACGGGGAGGAAGACATGCAAACCCCAAATATACAGGTGTAGGCATCTGGATTGAACCCACGACCTCCTGCATACCAGGCGAGGGAGTTAACATCTCGCCACCGTGACGCCCCATGCGGTCGCTACAGCTGCCTGTCGCCCGAGCAGCTGCTGCAACTACCACAGCAGCATCACATTGCCCATCCGTCAATGCCACGGCTGCCGTACGTCACTCACACAACCGCCACGGTCGTCCACAGGACTGCCACACCCGCTCCACGTCGCCTACGCAATTGCGATAACCACTCCGTGTCATTCGCCCAACTGTCATAACCGTCACACGTCACCCACAAAACAACAATCACCTTCACGCCACCACCACCACCATATATGGCGGTGGCATGGCCTAGTGGTTGCACTTTCGCCGCTTGTTGCAGAAAGTTCACGGTTCGAATCGAGTGGCCGCTCAGGTCAGCACTGCGGTGTATTCAGAATCCCGTGGCGTCGCTCGCAAGAGTAGGTCACCACTGTGCGCCGACATCGTGGTCCAAATTTGAAAATGTACCCGCTAATAATTTCTAATTATACGTAGCAATCATCGCGCCCTGCGACAAAAACACTGGCAGGGCCCTCCCGAAAAAGAGTCGTGAGGCTTTCCTGGGTAAACAAGCACAATCATAATGTCACCCACACAACCACCTTAACCATACGGCGATAAATATGGGACATGCGTGGTTATTATTATTATTATGGCAATCCGACTGCCGTGCCTCTCCCACCCGCTTGACCGCACCCTTTCCGACGGCGCAGGAGCAAGCGTACGAGTTCCAGTTCGGGCAGGCGTACGCCTGGATGATGTCCGTGCTCACCGTCGTCATGACCTACAGCATCACGTGTCCCATCATCCTCCTCTTCGGTCAGTGCCACCCACCCCCCCACCACACAGCCCCCCCCCCCCAAATACTCTCGAAAGGGGCACCGTCTAGAGCTCCGTCCAATTTTGATTGCTTCGGTCGCTGGAAAGATTACTGGAACCAATTGCATCCGACGTGCACGATTTGAGATGAGCCGATTCTTTCAGGCGCGAGGATTTTAGATCCGCACACGCCGCGTGCTCGGTAAGCGCTCGCTGACAGCAGCCACTGACGGACTCCGTGCTCTGCAGGCCTCATCTACATCCTGCTCAAGCACATGGTGGATCGCTATAACATCTACTACGCCTACATGCCGGCCAAGCTCAACCGGCAGATCCACTCAGCCGCCGTGAACCAGGTGGTGGCGGCGCCCATCCTCTGCATCTGCTGGCTCCTCTTCTACTCGGTGCTGCGTCTCGGTGCGTGCCGCACCCCAGCCTCTCTTCCGCCGCCGCTCACCACTGCAGCCGCTCAGCACCGTCGCCACTCACCTCCGCCGCCACTCACCTCTGTCGCCACTCACCACCACCACCGCCACTCACCACCACCGCCACTCACCTCTGTCGCCACTCACCACCACCGCCACTCACCACCACCGCCACTCACCACCACTGCCACTCACCTCTGTCGCCACTCGCCTCCGCCGCCACTCACCACCACCGCCACTCACCTCCGCCGCCACTCACATCTGTCGCCAATCACCACCACCGCCACTCACCACTGCCGCCGCTCAGGACCACCGCCGCTCAGCACCACCGCCACTCACCTCCGCCGCCACTCATCACTGCCGCCACTCGCCTCCTCCGCCATCACGGATGCGAAAACAACTAAAATAATGCAATAATTGTGTTGCGTGTTGAGCTGTGTCCATTTGTGTGTGTGTGGAGCAGAAGTGTCGTGGTTCTCAAATCCATCTAGTAACTAAGTTTGATTCCGGGCCATGGCTAACATCAGTGAATATCTGAACCGATCATGAGGTCTCATAGGTCAACTCAGCCGTAAATGAGTACCTGATGTGTTGTGTAAACACCAGCACTGGGGAGGCAAGGTCGGCCAGGTGTGGCACTGACCACACCACCCCCTCATGTGCCATGCCGGCCTTCACCGGTTCTCTCATAACACTTGCCCCAACAGTCTGTGTAGGCTACATGGGGGGGGGGGGGGTATACCGTTGTCTTTGTCTCCTCTTGTGCGCGTCGCCAACGCCGCAGGGCCCAGAAGCCACATCACCATCTTCACGTTCGTCGTGCTGCTCCTGACGGTCACCGTCTGCATTGGACGATCCTTCTTCGGCTACTTCAAGTACTGCAGCATCCACATCAACCAGGTGAGCACCAACACCGGCACCTGCACCAACACTGGCACCTGCACCAACACTGGCACCTGCACCCAACACTGGCACCTGCACCAACACTGGCACCTGCACCAACACTGGCACATGCACCAACACTGGCACCTGCATCAACGCTGGCACCAACACTAGCACCTACACCAACACTGGCACCTACACCAACACTGGCACCTACACCAACACTAGCACCTACACCAACACTGGCACCTACACCAACACTAGCACCTACACCAACACTAGCACCTACACCAACACTGGCACCTACACCAACACTGGCACCTACACCAACACTGGCACCTACACCAACACTGGCACCTACACCAACACTGGCACCTGCACCAACACTGGCACCTACACCAACACTGGCACCTACACCAACACTGGCACCTACACCAACACTGGCACCTACACCAACACTGGCACCTGCACCAACACTGGCACCTACACCAACACTGGCACCTACACCAACACTGGCACCTACACCAACACTGGCACCTGCACCAACACTGGCACCTACACCAACACTGGCACATGCACCAACACTGGCACCTGCACCAACATTAGCACCTACACCAACACTGGCACCTGCACCCAACACTGGCACATGCACCAACACTGGCACATGCACCAACACTGGCACATGCACCAACACTGGCACATGCACCAACACTGGCACATGCACCCAACACTGGCACCTGCACCAACACTGGCACATGCACCAACACTGGCACATGCACCCAACACTGGCACCTGCACCAACACTAGCACCTACACCAACACTGGCACCTGCACCAGAAATCCACCTCACGTTTTGATTTCTGTGGGTTTCCACAGAGCGCCTCCCGACAGCCTGCGGAAGACTCGATCTCGAACGACGGCGTTGCCTACGCGCCCTCCTCACCGGTACGCGCCGATCGCTTCCACTCCCCTTCCCTCTCCCTTCCACTCCCCCTCCGCTCTTCCCTCCGTTCTCCCTTCCGCCCTTTCTTTGGCCCCGCTTCAGCTCCCCTTCCACTTTCCCTTCCACCCCCCCTTCCAATCCCCTTTCGCTCTCCCTCCACGCTCGCCCTGCCCCATTCGTGCAGAGGTCGCAATCGGGTACCCGATACCCGTACCCTACCCGATACCCGGCTACCCGTACCCAGCCGGGTACGGGTACCCGTTTGCGACCATGGTGTGGCCGAGTACGGGTACGGGTAGTATGTGAGTCACTGGTGAGTAACCGTTTGTCACTCATTTCCCAACGTCTTGTCTCTTCTCACAATTCAAGTTCCTAGAATCAACCCACCCGCGCCTGCAACATGGCTTCATCCCAGAGGTCGCAATCGGGTACCTGATACCCGTACCCTACCCGATACCCGGCTACCCGTACCCGGCCGGGTATCGGGTGTACAGGTACCCGTTTGCGATCCTGGTGCGGCCGGGTACGGGTACGGGTAAGGAATTAAAACCTGTTTGCGACCTCTGCATTCTTGTCAGCGGTGCCGGAGCCTCCTGGGTTTTCGTTTAAAGTAAACTTTGTATTTTACCTGGTAAGGCTCACTGAGCTATATAACTCTTTTCAGAAGTGACCTGGCCACAAATGATACGCCAATGAAGTGGCTTATTATGTGGGAATTTGTAGTAGCCAAATACTCTAAACCAGGGGCGGTTTCTTCATTAGGGCGATTGGGCGACGCACCACCAATGTCATTGAACCACAGAGTCACGCTAGCCGTCACTGTCAGCCTCTGGATATAGTCCAATCAGCGTCATGTCACGTTCTGTGGAGTACCGCCTCTTTTTGGGCGATTTCACTCCGGCTGAGAATCGCCGCGAGTGGTCCCATAGACTTACATTGAAAGATGTTTTTTTTCGACCGGGGGGCGCTCCAATGCATTCTCTATGGCTTCCGGGAGGGCAAGCCCTAACGTGCTTACGTCATCATACGTGCTAACGTCATCATACGTAAGCACGTTTCATCCAACAATATAATTTAACGCCACTGAGTGGAATCTTTAATAAAATAAACTTGAGTGGTTTGTTTTAATAGTGAGTATAGAAACAAACAAGATGTATTGTAAGAGTCACTTTATTTTTCATTAATATTAAAGAAGTGAAGTTGCCTTTACATGCTTAGGCTGTTAATTTATCCATTGCATGGGTGGACCTTATCCTTATCAATCATCCAGGCATTTGCCCCCCCTGAGAGATTTTGCAGGAGCCGCCACTGCTCTAAACACATGTTTCTAAATGTGGAGGGAAAAACCGGAAGACCCGGAACAAAATCCATGCGACCACAGAGAGAGAGAGACAGGCTGACTCTTATTATACAGCAGGCGTCAGGGTCGGGATCGAACCGACGACCTCCTGTGTACCAGGTCAGACAGTTCACATCCCACCACTGTGAGGAGGCCACAATATCCATCTTGAAAGTGGAAAAGAAGCATTTCAACTTTTTTGCACATTTGTTGTATTCTTCAAATGTTGCTAAATATCCATCGTTAAACACCACAACCATCGTTGGTTCTGGTTTGCAACATGGTTGTATGTTGCTACTTGTCCACTGAACTCAATCATGGCCGACGCCTTCATCATTAACAGTATAGGCTGGGAGGTCTGATCCCCTGCCCTCCCCTCTCGCCTGGGATGCCTTGCCCCAGTGAACCCGGGAGGAAATCTAGGTAAGGAGAGGCTGCCTATATCACGAAAGGTACAAGATAAAGGTGCATCGCTGCAATTTCTTACTCGCGCCACTGCTGGCAGAAAGGCCTTCACTCAAGGGAACTCTTGAGAGATCCTCTAGAGTGTATTCTGGCTTACTCGTTCACGACGGCCAGATAGCCTGTAAGAAGAGATGGGAATCCCCATGCTTCACCACAACATGCACGTATCGATTGTGGTGTACCCAATTACGCTACTAAATGGATTTTAAGAAACTTGCCCATTGTTTTAATTGCCGTGCTGGGAGATTGAACCGGCGAACCCAGCGTGCGAACCCAGTGTGCTGACCGCCACACTGCGGTGGCATATACCTTGTTGAATTTAGACGCAAGGCAAATTCAAGCTAACGTCGCAGACGTTTCTTTGCGCGACATGCTCTGGCGCAGACCTACCAGGCGGCCATGCTGTTGGAGGTGATCAATGGCGGGAATGCGGAGGAGGAGGACGAGGAGGAGCTCGGGGAGACGCCGGGCCCCACGGGGCCATCCTATGGGGCCACGGATACCGACGCTGCGATCGATGCCGCCATCCAGCCGCGCGTCTCCGGCGTCTGGCTCCTGCAGGAAGATAACGCCGTCGTGGACGGCGCCGGCGATCAGCAGTAGCGAAATTGGGCCTTCGCTGGGCCGCCTACGGGTCAGGATTAGGGTTGCCACCTGTCCCCAGTTTCCTCAGGACATCCTCTGTCCTGAAAAATGTGTAAGTCCTCCCATGACATTAAAAGTCCAGGTTTTTGTCAGTTCCATAATAATAATCATGCGCCACTCAAGAGACCACATTTACACGTGGTTTGGATGTCTTCCTGCAGTGTGAGATGTGTCTTCTTCCCATGATATGCTCCGGCTGTTTGTACCTCAGAGGTGGCAACCATAATCAGTCTGCAATGACTCAACGCCTCGGCGATTAGGGACGGCTCATCACGATTCCAGGATCACGATTCGACAAGCGATTGTTTTTTGTTTACGGATGTGGTGCATGTGTGGCATCTGTCGCGTATACACAGTTGCCACGAACTATTCGCAGGGTGCACGTGAATTGGACGCGATTGTCACGTGTCGCGACCCGACGCATGTGTCATGAGCGTGAGAGAATCTGTGTTCGTCGAGGAATCCGCGTATCGATGGCTCATCGCATCCCTCCCTCAAGGCCATGACGCGCGAGGACAATTTGCGTGCAATCGTCACCGATTATAAATTGCCGCGCTATCTTTCGTTGTAAATAATGCCAACGATGCAGTTGCCATAATCTGGACTGGTTAGATGGCTGCTGCCCCCAATTGAGGATGGGCAACTTTTGAGGATGGGCAACTTCCAGAGGTCACTTGACCACCGTAGGTTGCCTGCTCTGCATGCCCATGGACTTTCATCAAATAGTTTAGACAATTTCCATCAACGATTGTGCTCCAAAATTGCCCCGGTGCATCATGGATATGACGAGGTTTTAGCCGAGTGCGATGGCGTGCACATGTGATCCAGCGACTTGTCAGTAGGATGGGTGGATCACACAGAGATGGAACCTGTGTGAGACGAGCAGGACATTGAGCTGCATGTCTTCAAGAGGCAGGGTTTTTGGTTTAGCTGAATAGCAAAGTCTGTGCATTATCTCCTTGCATATTCTGTGGGGTTTCTCTGGTCTCTGGTTTTCTCCCACGAAAGAAATTGATCGAAAGAGAAGTTGGCCAACCATGTGAAAAGCAGGAGCCTCATGAGTCTTGGGTCTCAATAAGGCTTTTCCTGGATGAACACATTTTATACATATTTAAAGCAGATGTATTTATTACTTTGGGTTTTTTTGCACTATATATAGCCAAACTTTGCATGCAACGATATATTATGTAAAGAGAACAAGGGGAATAAACGTTGTTTTTGCACAAGGCTCAGACTGTGACGAGGTGATGTACATAGGCATGAGGCTGGCAGCAAACAACAGTTTCAGCCGCCCAAGAATTAAAACTCGTCGTGAAAGAAATCCGCTGAAGCCATATAAAGTATTTCCACCAAAACGTATTATTTTTTTGTAAGAACGTTCAAGCGAAAATCCCCCGATATTTAAACTCACGTAAGCTCGGCAGCAACAAGGGGGGGGGGTAGTTGGGGGGGTGGGTGGATACTTTTAGTAACTAAACGTGCGGCGGCCTCTGTGGATTTCTATTGCCCAATGAAACTTATGGAGACACTGAAAAACAACGAACTTGTATTTTATTTTTTAAAGGCTGCTGCTGCTGCCCTTTTTAATTTCTCTCGTCCGAGGGTTATGGAACAACTCAGCCCTCGTGGGAAGCCACGCACATTTCTGGGAGGTTCAATCGGGACGCACGATGAACCTGGGAAGCCAGCCGTCCTCCCGTTCGCCCCGGCCTCTTTCACATCGCCATGCCCCCGTTAAATCACTGGTCCCATCCACTCGGTGAGCAGCCTCCTTGCTCTACCTGTCGTTGGCACCGCCCGCCGTGTTTAAGCTGCACCCATTATTATTAAGCCCCACCCACGACTCTGGTAGCCCCCCCCCCCCCCCAAACCTTTACCCCTGCATATTCGAGCGTGAGGCCAGATCGTTTTAAAACAGGGGGGTGGTGGTGGTGGGGGAAATCACGATTCTTTTTTGTACCCCAATAATTCTGGACCCCAGGACAGTCCCGGCCCAACCAGGAAGGTTCGGGGAGGGGGGGCTTTAACGCGAGACCACTTGCAAGACGCTTCCACTGCGGCTCGTGCCTCCGAGACCTCCGCATTGTGCCACAGCGAGGCCATGCCCCCCCTCCCCCCCTGTGAGTTGCCACCGGCGGCGATGCATGGGCAGCTGTAGCAGCGGTCACTGCCGCACTTGCCCAAGGCACGAGGTCGGGTTGGAGCCGCGATAGCCGTTCGCTCCACGGGTTATCGATTTGGTTGCTCGACTCGTCGCTTAACATGACATTTGTTGGGGGCGGGAAATATCGTTACCATCTGTTTATTTTTTACATGTGCCGCTGGACGGGAGGTAATGGGTGTGGGGTGTTGTAATTGGGGTGTGGCTTATAGGGGACGCCTCCCCCCCCCCCCACATTTTTCTTTATTGGCCCGAGTAATTGACGTAAAAGATTGTCGATTATCATTTTAATGTTCATTCATTGATTTACTCGAATAATCGTGCCTGCTCTGGACGGGTTACATTGGGTTTGCATAGTGCCGGAGTCGAAGTGACCCATTGAGTGGTCTTATCGCCTGGCTGCTGGACCACGCTATGCCCGTGGTTATTATGTGTAGTTATTGTTGTGGATTTTTCGTGGGTGACCGGACGATGCTTTGTCCAAGACCACTTTTTTAAGGGAGGCAGCTAGTTCAGTGGCTAGGGGGGGTGGGGCAGTGCCCAGGTTCTTAAAATGTTGTTTTGGCAGCAGCAGCACACCTCTGCCTGGGCAGAAGTTTGCGCTGCGTTGCCGCGTGTGACTTGGCAGGGTCTCAGCCCGAGTCTTGTTGACGGAGACACGAGCCCGGCCGGATTAACTTGACTCAAGCATCAGAGCCATCGAATACGGACAGCAGTTGCACTCGCCTGCGTGTGTGTGTGTCCCGTGTGTAGGTCTACTCGGCCTTAATTGAGTACCTCGTGCGGTGTGTAAGCATCAGCACCGGGGGGCGGGGGCAAAGGCTGCCTGGCATGGTCCTTGCCTGCTAACCGCAACAATCTGTGCGACCATAGGAGAGGGGATCTTTGTGTGTGGAGCGCTGGCGCCGTGGTTAGCGCATTGCCCTATGAACCCAGAGAAGCTGCGTTTACTGCCTTGGAGACGCAGGACCGGTTGGGGATATCACGTGTCCCTGGCGTTAGCCGAACCGGTCCCTGGGTCTGTCCCGGGTTGACTCGGCCTGAAATGCAATACCTGCCACGGTAGTGGATCTGGCTCTTCGACTCCCACCGCACGACTCGTCGGCTCTGGATAGGTGCTCGTTTCACATTTACTTGCCAAGTCGAGATAGGTAGGGAACTGTGTTTTTATTATTATTATATATTCACGTGCGTGAAAGTGATCAGGACATGAGCCAGTGGACAAACATTTGACTGTTTGAGATATCTCCCCGGGAAATGATTCAAGCGCAGTTGTTTCTGCGCGCCTTTGTGCCGAACGAACACTGATGTATGCGTGCGTTGCGTGGGTGTAAGGTACACGGGTAGGCACGCGTTCACGCATGTACGCATGTACGTATGTATGCATGTCAACGCGTGAACTGCAACAAACCTGGGTGACCTGGGCGGTGCTCACTTCACCCTGGTCGTTCTTGGACTTTGTTGAGCTGGGGTTTTCCACACTACACTGGAGGAAGGTTTTGACCCCTCACCCCTTATCCCACCCCCTCCCAATAGAGACCAAGGTGTCTGCTTGTTTAAATGTCCTTTATCCACGGAGTAGGGATTCGGGATGTGCTGTTGTGTAATGTGAGTGTCCCAAGGGAAGCCTGCGGAACAACGTATAATTGTATTCCCGAAAGGAAAAAAAAAACTAGACCCATTTATATGGGGAAACTAAGGCAATAACCCTATGCAGGGTGTTAATGTATACACAACTGACCGTTGCATGAATGTGTTAACCTACAGACGGGACGGAGTACGGTCGAATACGTGAGCTCAGTACGTCTGTATCTGTAGTGGGGGGGAGGGCATGATAACTCTCGTAAACATGAGCCGATTTATTGACGATACAACTGCAGTATAAAGTCGCGTTGCTATTAAGGACATAGCCAGTCTGAGACCGTACACATTGATCAAAGGTTTTCCCTTAGACCCTCCCCAGCAGAAGCCGCTGTGTCGTGGGCCCTGGGGTCTGTGTGGCCTACAGGGGGGCCCCCATATCACTTGGTGTGGGTGTGCCACCGTTGGTTGTTATGATGATGATGATGATGGTGTCCATTGACATACTTCTGAGGACAAATGCGTGTTGGAAAGCGTTACAGAGTTCTTTCATGTCCACGATCTTGTTAAATTCAGTTGCAGGTGACGATAAATTCTCCGGTAAAGAATATGATACCAGCAGATTTTGGCAAAATGTTTTCACCAGAACGCCTTTGCGTGTGTACTTGTGCGTATTTGTATGTGTGTGAACATCGCCACTGTGGAGACAAAGGCGGTCGGGCGTGGTGCAGGTCACCCACCCTCTTGTGTGACGTGCCGGCCTTCATAGGTGCTCGCGTTACAACACTTGCCTCGACAGTCTGTTAAGGCTATACGGGGGATCTTTGTGTGTACCTGTGTATATCTCTGTGTGTACCTCTGTGTGTACCTGTGTGTACCTGTGTGCATCTCTGCTTGGCGAATACGAACGATGGTCGTGATCATACGTGACAGCATGAAAGAGCCGTCTGCTTTTCACCACTCACGCTGCCTTTCCTTGTTCTCAAACTGAAAATAGCCCTGCAATAGAACAGAGTGGAGGAGTTTGTGGGGGGGGGGGGGCAGAGCCGGCCCAGCCACTAAGCGACCCTTGCAATTGCAAAGGGCCCCGTGGCCAGCAGAGGGCCCCCTAGAGTCACTGCTAGCTCGTGGGTGAAAAAAAATCATACATCAAAGGGGCCTCCAACCAAATTTTGCTTAGGGCCCCCAAAGGTCTAGGGCCGGTTCTGGGGGGGGGGGGGGGGGGGACACTGCAAATGACAGAACAAGACACTCAGATGGAACGCATGTGCAAAAGTGAGCGGAATACAGTCCGGGATGACTGATATTACGGCGTTATTTATGTATGCAATCCAGTATATGGGTTTATGAAAGTGCACGCACAACTTTTAGGTATACAGTATGTACACGTACGGAAAGTATAGAGATGTCTATCCACGCCATATACTCAAAACTCAACCCCGGCTGTGAATGTATTCAGGAGCAGGGGATGCCTGTGCGCTGGGCTGATGAACCGTCTGGGGTCAAACAGCCACGTGATGATTCAGTCGTCGTGCGCGGGCAATGGCAGCCAATAAACGATGATGTGTTCTCTACAGTGACTGTGGTGGGTTTTTTGTTGTTGCAATCGATACCGCATGGATGCACTATGTCAGTGGTTTTTAACCTGGGGTGGACGCATTCCCTGGGGGTGCGAGATGCCCGTTCTGGGGGTGCGAGGCATGGCCAGATGTCTTTTTGAAAGTAAATAATCTAAAACACAAATTAAGCACGGACACGTAAGTACAACGACTTTGTTTCATCAAACCCTACGTATTGATTCGTATTATACATTTGTTTTGCGATTGGGAAGCAAAGGGGTGTAATACTCCTAGGTTTTTTCGGTAAAGTCACGTAGGTAAAAAATGAAATTTAAATTAATAAAAGTAAAAATATAAATAAAATAATAAAAAATCACGACGTTTCGGAGGCAACACAAGTCTCCGTCATCAGATGGGACCGTCACAGCCAGATTTGCTGTATCAAGTGAGGCAGGGATTCCAAGATGCAAGTTCTTAAATACAAGTTAAGGGGGAGGAGGGGGGGGGGGAGCTTATCAGAATGTGGTAGCCAATGAATGGAACGTATTGGGAGGGGGGCGGGGCTAAAAGAGAACAAGAGGTGTACGTGGACGAGTTTGTGCGCAAGCACCTGTTGGTGCACATGATAACGTATTGGAAGGGGGGGTGTAAGGCTGCAGTAAATGTTAAGAACCATTGCACTGTCATATCGCATGAAGGTGAACGCATAATAATGATCACAATAGTGTATCTTCTTGGTTCTTTCGGTAAAGTCACGTAGAAGGGAAGTAATAAAATAATGAAAATAAAACATAATAAAATAAAATAATATAATAAATTAAAATAATATAATATAATTTATTATATTATTTTATTTAATTATGTTTTATTTTTATTATTTTATTACTTCCCTTCTACGTGACTTTACCGAAAGAACCAAGAAGATGAATCCCTGCAGTCACGAAAGCTTTAAATCGAAAAAAACACAATAGTGTAGTTGTAATAATAGTAACGTCAAGCAGGGTTTTGTCAGATATACCACCTTGGGGTCTTTGAGACCGGATTACTGAGGACACCCGATTTATTTGGCCCGCAGGTGATAAGCACTAATCACTGCGACAACCTCACTGAATCCGCAACCTTATCTCACTGCGAAGCAGCGCCTCGACATTCAATAGGGCAATACGATACACGAGCGGACGAAGGTTTTTCCACAACGAATGCTGCATTTACATTATGAGACCTCCTTTGTCAGTAGCAAGATATAGTGATAGGTTTGTACCCTTTTATCTGGCACCAAAACTGACACCTTTATACAAGGGATCATGTTTGCAATAACCACAACACTTGCGGTCAAAATGCAAACAAAAGGAGACAACTCTGATAATGATATCCACTGTCCTTGAAATTGATTGGTCCACACCCGAAACGGCTTTTCTTAGAGCCTAGTCTCACATGGTGTTGGACCAGATGACGCCAAAAGGCGCACTGAAAGCTGCATTTGTTTAACTATGATACTGGCATTAAAGGTCCCATGATATGGCTGCTCACCCCGAGCTACAAATGCTCCGATACGTGCATTGGCTTTGTACTGTTCATCTTTTGGTGTTCTCTGCTCTGACACTGGTGAGACTGGCCCATACAGAAGGTTGTCTCTGGTGTGGGGCAATCAATTTAAAATACAATGCCGTATATAATATCAGAGCTTGTATTGTTTGCATGTTAACCCCAAGTACGTGCGGTTAATACAGACGTGATTCCTTGCATAGGGTATCGATTTGGTGTCCGAACATCTTAGCACCTGTTTTATTGCCAGAAATGGTAACACCCATTCTCATTATTCATAGTTTGATACTGGCAAAAAAAGGCCTAAACCTGCGCATGGGACACTGAAAAGTCGTTAACCGGCCTGTTGTTTCCCTATGTAGGGCTGTTATGGAGGGGCTGTTTGTACATAAGATCAAACGGCGAACAAACACAGTGGGCGGAGCTCCGGGAGTAAGCGGGGGGGGGGGGTGCCCGCAACGACGTCCGCATCGGGCAGCCTGGGGGTAGGGCTGCCCGGGGTTGTGATCCTGGAGGGGGTATAAAAGGGGATGACAGAGAGAGCTCGGGGCTCAGTATTAGAACAAAGGAGGGAAGATTGAAGACCCGGGTAGCTAGAGCCCTGGACTCCCCTGAGACGCCGCCCTTGTCAGGGCCGCGCAGGACCGAGCCAGCGGCGTGGTCCCGTGAACCAGAGTCAGCACTCTGGGATTCCGGGTACCGTAGCCCGACTCGCCAGTGTCGGGCCAGACAGCCTCCCCTAGCCCGTTAGTGGAGGACTCGGGGTAGGTCAGGGATAGCTAGTGGTGTATCCCCAGTTATACGGGTGAGGGGGCCGATACCCCCTCTAGTGCTGTCCTGTCGTGACGACTTGTAAAATAAATACACGTGTGCCTCAACCTCGGTGTCAAGCGTCCTCACCGGTACTTCACATACGTAAACTAATGCTGCTGGAAAACATTTTTGTCCTACGAGGCCAAGAAGAAGCTGACGGGACTAAATTGTTACTTCGTCTTTCATGGCAGAGAACGGAATCGTTGTCAGTTTAACATTGCACGTTTTCGGTCGACGCACATTTAAGGTACGGACTGTCTTATTTGTAATTGCCACATATGAATGCCTCCTCCTTGGTGATGACGACGATGTTAATGACATTTACCGTATTTTCTACCTTTTCAAACATATGGAGAATATTTTGCCGTTTTTTTTTCTTTTTTGCCAATGAGCCCTACGTTTTATGCTTTTTTGTTAATAAAAAAAACTCGTAAATGCCGTTAGTTCCCACTCAGTTGTGTGCTCCATTTCCCACGGAATAAAGGAAATGGACGTTTGTCCTCCGCTCCCCCTGCGTGAGTTTGGGTTGTCCCCATGCGCTCGGCTTCCACAGACTCCCATCAACGTCACGCGGCCCCTTTGGGGCCGTCCATAAATGACGTCACGCGATTTTGGACGATTTTTGACCCCCCCCCCCCCATCGTCACACGTATTTCAAAAAGTCAGACCCCCCTCAAATATGACGTCATAAAGCTCCGCCCCATCCCCCCCAAAAATTGAACATGCTTCAAATCGCTTTAAACATTGTAATTGTAGTGCGTACTTAATGTGCCGCTGCACTCTGATGTTGTAGAAAACATTTTTTTAAAAGTCTATTTAATTAAGTAGAACGTGTTGTCTATATTTATTTAAAGTTGCGCATTTTGATGTGACGTCACATTCCTCACCCCCCCCGTCGTCACACATCGTCACAAATGTCTGACCCCCCCCCCCCCCTAGGTGCGTGACGTCACTTATGGACGGCCCCTTTGTCAATAATCAACCGCTGGGTTGACGGCTAATGTTTTAAAGTGCGCTGTCGTCTTCAACCAGCAGGGGGCTGCTGTTTGAAGTTTGCTTTGTGTGAGATGCTGCCCGGATAGCTGTGGCGAACGTCCACGTGACAGGGTTTTCTTCGGTTTCTGGAGGGAAAACATGGTCACTGTTTCCATTATCATCACCCATCATTATACCGTGGCCACCACAATCAACATTGCACTTCAATTACTGGCAGCATCTCACACGAGCCACACACCATCACCAATATTGTTGTAATCACCAATATCATCTTACAAAATGCAGAAATGCTCAAAATGGAATTGGCCCAAAATCCCAAACAGCACTCCTCAGTGATCTCCTCATAAATATCTCAAAGCATTATTACGTAATGATGGTTGCGTGTGTGTAACTAGGGCTAACTAGGATTTAGGTGGAGGTTTGCAAACAGGAGTTTCCGGCTCTGGTATCTCCACATCAAAGATATTGTACTTGTGTGTAATTCCCAAAACTTCATCTGATACAAATAGGACACGGGTGGACCATAACTGGAATGCCAGATATGGAGTGACTGTAACCCTCATTCCAAGTTAAATCGTGACCTTTTAATCTGTCAATGCACAAAATGAACAGAGACATGTATAAATAAAATGCACGCTATGTGTCTGTGTCCTTGTACGTTTCCTGGAGCAGTGAGCTAACATCACCACTGGGAGAGACAAAGGGAGCCGGGCACGATGCGAGACTCACCAAACCACACTCATGCGCTGTGGAATGTTGCCAAACTTCGTGAAAACCCAAACCTATATTTATTTTTTTCGTCCAGTCATTGATGACCGGGTTGAGACCAACTAGGTATATTCCCTGGCGGCCGAAACCCCCACACTAAAACGCAGGATTCCTGTGGTGACAACTAAAACCCAGTATCTTTGACACGGTCATTATTATCAACCTCCAAAGCCACCCAGCCGGCTCACCTTTACAGGGCCCGTGACGCGCTCGCCCCTCCTTGGGAACGGAGCAACTTCGATCTGACAAACCTGTTGTCAACTTCATTCGGGGCAAACATTCTCACATTAGTGGGAGAAAATAATAATGACAGCACTCGAACTGAAAGATTAGCATATATGCTGCTGTCGGATGCGTGTCCTTTGAAGTGACTCCAGCCTGAACAACTCGCCGGAGGGCAGCTGCGAGTATGACTAAACGTGGCAACAAAGGTGGAGCTTATTTGCCCTTTCATGCAAGTGTGACGTTTTGACTGGAGCCTAGGAGATTAAGTTAGGCACAGGGCCCATCGAGGCGAGGAGAGTGGAGGGATGGTGTGGACCGAACCCAGTTGCGGATTAAGCTAGTGCGGGGCCTGTAGCATATGTTATAAAGGGGCCCTAAATAAAATAAGACACAAATATTAAAACAGAAATGTTTAACTTGCATAGTAAAGTAATTGTATTTTTTCATTTGCTATACAGCCAGATAATACGACAAATCGCTAACTGTAAACACCCAGTCGTTCATAAAAGTTGAAGGCAGTATACTACTATAGTAATAGAGCAAGTGCAGAATCGCTGAACCAGAATTGATAGCTTGAAAGCATTTAGCGCGGGGCCCTTGAAAGTGCGGGTCCCGTAGCATGTGTAGCTACTTTTGCTACTAGGATCATCCGGCACTGACTGAACC